ATTGTTATTTCTGGGGACACTCTGGAAGCTGTGATATCTAAGTAGAAATTAACAGGAATATCCAGAAGAGACAGAGACAGAACCTCTGTGTTGCCAACTGTTTTCAGAGAACAAAGAATATGATCCAGGCACAGGTGACTCATGTCTTATTTTATTCTCTCCTTTATTCCTTAATGGATTTGTAGAGCCTGTTAAAAACAAAAATCCAGTTCAGTAGAGAGAAATAAACTGAATCTAACCCCAACACCATGGCAAAGTGGGATTAAGAATGTAGTGTTTATGTGATTCCTGTGAAACTAGTGTTATAACATCATGTGTATCTGTCACTGACCCTGTGTGCACACCTGTAGATGTGTGTCCATTTACAAATGTATGTGGCTTCGTGCACATATTTGTGTACATAAACACATCTGTTAGGATGTTTTGTGCAACAAAAAATTACACTCTTAAAGAAAATCCTGTTGCCCTAAGATGATATAAACATCCAAACAAATAATGACTGCAATTGTTCAGTGAATATTAGCTGTATAAAATTCCATTTGTCTATTTGCTGTGCTGTGCTTAGTCACTCAGTCGTGTCCGACTCTTTGTGACTCCATGGGCTTTAACCTGACAAATTCCTCTGTCCATGGAATTCTCCAGGCAAGAATACTGGAGTGGGTTGCCATTTCCTCCTCCAGGGGATCTTCCCAACCCAGGGGTTGAACCGACGTCTCCTGTGTCTCCTGCATTGCAGACAGATTCTTTACCGACTGAGCCATTTGTCTATAGTCATACTCAAAAAACTGTGTTAAACTGTGTAAAGCATTTAGAGGAGTGCCTGCCACATGGTAAGGGCTGTGTGAGGTCACCCGTACCTTCAGTCTTTGACAGCACTTAATACTAGGATATTATCGAATTGTATAATTTTTATCAATCTTTTTTTTTTTTTGCCATATTTTGCATTTACCTCATCACAGACAAGGTTGAAATCTGTCTTGTATATTAATTGGTCAGCTGCATTTTGTTCTCTTGAGAAATATCTGTCCTTTTCATTTTTACATTAACAAGATTATCTTTTTCTTCTGATTAATGAGTCATTCCTATCCGCTATATATTGATTCTTTCTTTCTCTTTTAATGTGGCATGTGGGACCTTCTTTCCCTGACCAGGGATTGAACCTGCAGTGGAAACATGGATTCTTAAGCTCTGGACTCCTGGGGAAGTCCTCTTTCTTTTGTTTATAAAAAATATTTTCCCGGCTTATCACTTTTCTTTCAGCTTTACCCATGATATCTTATTTAAAATCTTTTTAAAATTGAAGTATAGTTGATTTACAATATTGTGTTAATTTCTGCTGTATACCAAAGTGATTCTGTTTATACATATATATACATTCTTTTTTCATACTATTTTTCATTATGGCTTGTCACAGTATATTGAATATAGTTCTCTGTGCTGAACATTAGAACTTTATTTATCCATTCTATATATATAATAGTTTGCATCTGCTAATCCCAACCTCCCAACCCATTTCTCCTCTAACCCCCACTTTGGCAACCATAAGTCTATTCTCTGTGTGAGTCTGTCTCTATTTTGTAGCTAGGTTCCTTTGTGTCATATTTTAGACATGGGACTGAGCCCTTACCCATTGCCACATGATCCTCTCTTCAGGTTGATCATGTCAGAATTGAATAGTTGGACACACAGCTGGTGTCAGACAATTGCTTGGTGGTGTGTTTAAAAAAACATACACATGAGGATTGGTATAAACATCGTACTTAATATGAGCAGGATAGCTTCCTTTATATTCTTTATGAATGAATTGAAGAGAAACACTTGTATTAAACCAGGAATCTGTTACTCCAGGAAACGCTGTCATTCAACGATGTGGCCGTGGACTTCACGTGGGAAGAGTGGCAGCTCCTGGCCCCTGCTCAGAAGGCCCTGTACCGGGATGTGATGCTGGAGAACTATAGCAACCTGGTGTCCGTGGGTGAGGACAGCTCCCTTGGGTCCTTCAGAGGGTCCGCAGTCAGTTACCTTTATTTTCTCAGCTGATTAAACTTTGAAATCACTGCAGTGCCCTATGGCAGATTCTCATTGCCTCTTCTAGCTCCTGATAAAAGGGTATATACAATGTGCCATGAACTGTTTTTACGCCCAACACGACTGACACCAAGTGTCTGGGTTTTTTCTATACTAGTAACCAATTCTCCTACTTTCCAGGTACAGCCTGGGTGTCCCGCAATTCAACCCTTTTTTGACACTAACCACCCAAATTCAGCATTATACCCCAGAGGCTTACAGGCTCACCTCAGATGTAAGTTGAACATATTAGGTGTCCAGGGTACCCACACTTCTGTCTGACTTGACTATAAACTGAGCCTTTGGGACTTCCCTGGTGGTCCAGTGGTTAAGACTTCACACTTCCAATGCAAGGAGCACAAATTTGATCCCTGGTTGGGAAACTGAGGTCCCACATGCCACAGGGCATGGCCAAACATTTTTAAAAATTACATTAAAAAAAAAAAAGCATCCCCATGCCCCACCCGTCAGCACTTGACAATTTGTTAGAATGGCTCACAGAACTCAGGAAAGCACTTTACTTACCATTACCAGTTTATTGTAAAGGATAAAACTCAGGAATAGCCAGATGGAAGAGATGCCAGGGGCAGAGTTAAGGAGGAGGGATCATGGTCCTTCCATGAGTGCTCCAAGTGTGTCACAACACAGAAGCTCCCCCAACCTGGTTGTGTAGGGTTTTTTATGCCGATTTCATTGTGTAGGCATGTTTTCTAAAATCATTGGCTGTGGGTGGTTAACTCAGTCTCCAGTCCCCTCTCTCTGTGTGGCAGGGATGAAAAGTGAAAGAAAGTGAAAGTCGCTCAGTTATGTCCAACTGTTTGCAACCTCATGGGCTATACAGTCCACAGAATTTGCCAGGCCAGAATACTGGAATGGTTAGCTGATCGCTTTTCTAGCAGATCTTCCTGACTCAGGAATCGAACTGGTGTCTCCTGCATTGCAGGTGGATTCTTTACCAACTGAGCTATCAGGGAAGCTTATGGCAGGGGTAGGAGGAGCTGAAATTTCTAACCTTCTGTTCATGCCTTGGTTTTTCTTGCAGCCAGTCTCCACTCTTAAACTCCCTAGGGCCCCTAGCCACCAGTCATCTTATCAGCACACAGAAGACACTTGTGCCAAGAACTGGAATTTAAACCAAATGCTGTAACAAAAGAGGTTTCTGCCATGCCTCTCACATAGGAAATTACAAGGTCTTCATTTTTATTTTAATTTTAAAAGTATTTATTCAGCTGTGCCAGGTCTTCCCAGGTGGTGCTAGTGGTGAAGAACCCGCCTGCCAATGTAGGAGATACAAGAGACTAAGGTTTGATCCCTGGGTCAGAAGATCCCCTGGGGAAGGTCATGGCAACCCACTCAAGTATTCATGCTGAAAAATCCCATGGACAGGGAACCTGGCGGGCTAGAGTCCATAGGATCACAAAGAGTCGGACATGACTGAAGTGACTTAGTATGCACACCAGGTCTTAGTTGTGGCAAAAAGGATCTTCAGGCTCTATTGTGCCGTGTGGGGTCTTTAGTTGCAGCATATGGGATCTAGTTCCATGACCATGGATCAAACCCAGGCCCTTTGCATTGGGAGCTTGGAGTCTAAGCCACTGAACCACAAGGGCTCCAGAAGCTCTCTGCCAGAAACCAGGGGTGGAGACCAAAGATATCATCATATCATAACATCCCATGAGTCTCTCTTGAGTGCAAAGCCTGTGCTTGGCAGATGTGAAAACCAATCCCTCAAATGTAAAATTCTCCTGTCTTGACCAGCCCCAGCCCAATTCAGTGGGACTAAGTCTTCTGTCATTTTCCATGATCAGGGTGTAGAGTCAGCAAATCAGATGTGCTGTCCAAGTTGGAACAAGGGGAAGAACGATGGATGACAGAAGATGAAATCCACAGTCACACCTGGCCAGGTAAGTGAGAACTGGTTGGTAACTGCAGATGTCCTGAGCTAGACAGGTAGAAGAGGCTGGGGAGTGTCTGAAAATGCAGAAACTTGCCTCTGCATAGCTCTCTCCCATAAAAGAATTTTTAGGCCTTGAGAGGGAAATATACCTGTTTTCGCTCCTGAGATCTGATTCTTGATTTTATTTCACATCTTGATTTTTGTTTGCCTTGTTTTCTCCTTCCTTGGATTTTATAACTCATTCCTTTGAACCCTGTCACAAATCCCTTTCACTTCCCTGGCTGTGGAATCCCACCTTCCAGGCCTCAGCTCAAGAAGAAATCTTTTGTGTATTTTTTTTTTTTTAATTTTTGGCCATACTGCATGTGGGATCAAACCTATGTGCCCTACAGTAGAAGTACAGAGTCTTGACCACTGGCCCACCAGGGAAGTCCCTGTATTACTTTGGTTTTACCAATGTGTAAGAAATAAGGAACATTTATACAGGGGGTGTTTGTTTCATACTGTTATCATAAGGTTGCCACTAAAGTATGATTTTTAAAAAACACTAAGGAAGTTTTTAACCAATTTTATTCCAAACAGGAATAAAAAGGATTCATTATTTTCTTCTTTCCTAGAAACTGGCAACGTTGGTAATCATCTGCAGGTTGACTGGGAAAATAAAAAAATGCTGAAAGGTATTGAACAATACCAGGAACACAATACATTTGGAAATCCTGTTCCTCAAAGCCAAAGTTATTTCTCTTTCAGGCAAAATCATGATATGTTTGAGTTCTATATAAAAAGTTTGAAGTCAAATTTAAGTTCAGTCATCCAGAGCCAAAGCTATGAAATTAAAAACTCTACTAAATGTAATGGAGATGGGAAATCATTTCTGTTTGGTAAACATGAAAAATGTCATTCTCTAGTTAAATGCCCTGTAAGTGCAAAACCCATCAGCACTAAGTCCCAAGTCATTAAGCACCAAATAACTTACAACATAGAGAAAGCCCATATATGCAGTGAATGTGGGAAAGCCTTTGTTAAGAAGTCTCAGCTCACTGATCATCAGAGAGTTCATACAGGAGAGAAACCTTATGGATGCAGTCTGTGTGCAAAAGTATTCTCCCGGAAGTCCAGGCTCAATGAACATCAGAGAATTCATGAGAGAGAGAAATCTTTTATATGCAGTGATTGTGGAAAAGTCTTCACCACGAAGAGCCGTCTGATTGAACACCAGCGAACTCACACAGGAGAGAAACCTTACGTATGCAGTGACTGTGGAAAAGCCTTCCCAGGGAAACGTAATCTCACCTTACATCAGCGAAATCATACTGGAGAGAAATGCTATGTATGTAGTGAATGTGGAAAAGGCTTCACTGGAAAGAGCATGCTCACTATACACCAGCGAACTCACACTGGAGAGAAACCCTACATCTGCAGTGAATGTGGGAAAGGCTTTACCACAAAGCACTATGTCATCATCCACCAACGGAATCATACAGGAGAGAAACCCTACATATGCAGTGAATGTGGGAAAGGTTTCATCATGAAGAGCCGTCTGACTGAACATCAGCGAATTCATACAGGAGAGAAGCCGTATGTGTGCAATGAATGTGGAAAAGGCTTTCCCAGAAAGGGTAATCTGATTGTACATCAGAAGACTCATACAGTAGAGAAATCCTATGTATGTAGTGAATGTGGAAAAGGCTTCACCGTGAAGAGCATGCTTACCATACATCAACGAACTCACACTGGAGAGAAACCCTACATCTGCAGTGAATGTGGGAAAGGCTTCCCATTAAAGAGTCGGCTGGTCGTGCATCAGCGAACACATACTGGTGAAAAACCTTACCGATGCAGTGAATGTGGGAAAGGCTTCGTTGTGAACAGTGGACTGATGTTACATCAGCGAACTCACACTGGAGAGAAACCCTATAAATGCAATAAATGTGGAAAAGAGTTTGCCTTTAAGAGCAATCTTGTGGTACATCAGCGAACTCATACTGGAGAGAAACCCTTTACATGCAGTGAGTGTGGAAAAGGTTTCACCATGAAACGCTATCTCATCGTACATCAACAAATTCATATGGGAGAGAAGTCCTATATATGCAGTGAATGTGGAATAGGTTTTGTCATGGAAACAGAGCTCATTTTACATCAGCAGATTCATACTGGAGAGAAACCTTATGCCTGCAGTGAATGTGGCAGAGGCTTCACTGTGAAAAGCCGTCTAGTGGTTCATCAGCGGACTCATACAGGAGAGAAACCTTTTGTATGCAGTGATTGTGGAAAAGGCTTCTCCTCAAAAAGGAATCTCCTTGTACATCAAAGAACTCATAATGGAAACAAACCATAAAAGCAATGACTATGATCACACCTACAGGAAGAAAATATGCTTTGTCCAACATCAGAGATTTCTAACCTTTATATATACTGACTGTGGAAAATCCTATTCAGCATTGGTATTGGTCTCATTACCCACCAGAAAATTTACACAGGAGACAAACTGTATGTATGCAATTAACGTGAGAAAGCCTTCAACACAAATTCAACACTCACTGTACCTCAAAGAACTCATAAAAGAGAGAGACTATGAATCCAGTGATTGGGGGTAATCTTTTGTCACCCCTTGTTAATACACATGAGAAACATATAGGTCAAAGTACATAATTCTTTGTAGAAGCTCTAAACTCATTATATACAAGTGAATTTGTTTAGGATAAAAAAGATGATAGTTCAGTGAACTCATTAAACATCGTGTGCTCCTAGCACACTTGAGTATCGTCAGTGTAGATTAGCCTGCTGCTAGACTTCACCCTTAGGAAATATGAAATTTGCGGAGGGGTGAAGTTTATTGAATGAAGAGAATGTGCTAGTGCCTTCAGTGATCAGTTACCTCACATTTTATTGTCTAAATTAACATGTAGGAAAAGCTCTGATACATTCGATGCAGAAAAAGCTCGAGAAAGCATTTTTAGGTACTAATTATATGTCTGAAAAGTATATGCTAAGATAAATCCTATGAATGGAGAGACTAGGAAAGCCTTCTATGGAAATAAAAACCCTGTCTCATCAGTGATCATAATAGATCACCAGTAAGCTCGTAACAATACATCGTATTACAATACATCATATTACAATACATCGTAACAATATGATGATCGTGGGAAAGCCTTTGCCTGGAAATAAAACCTCAGTAAGTTGCCTGATATGCATGCTGGAGAAAAATTTTCAGATGGCAATGAGAATGGCAGGATTTCAGTGATACATTCTGCCTCATTGCTTTTCATGAATTCACACAGAAATAAAATGGTTATGGACCCACTAAATATGGAGTAACTTTAGCAAAATATCTGAATTCTGAAGGAAAGAAACCTCATGAAAATGACATATACTTGAACTTTCTATCAGAAGTCTAAATTTATTATACACCTGATGTCCATTTTGGGGCAGAATACCTTGAACCATATAAGTGATTCCATAATTTTAAAGTGGGCTAATCTCGACACTAATTTGTAATGTTATATACAATACAGGAGTGTTCTGTGCCCACCTTGTATTATTATATGTTTCACTCTTGCATTTCTTAGGTTCTAAATTCAACTGTCTACAGTGTACTTCAAAATAAAAAGGAATATATTCATAACTGTAATCCAGCATAACTGGCTGTATTTATCTAAGTTTAAAAGTAGCATTAGGTAGTTTACAAACACTTTAAAAATGATTTTTCTAAAATTCGTTTTGAAATAGTTTTAGACTCCCAAGTAATTACAAAATATACCAAGTTCCCACATACCGTTACTCAGTTTCTTCAGTGATGTTATGTTACATAACCATAATACATCATCAAACCCAATAAAATGGCATTGGTGCAATGCTGTTAAGTAAACTGGATCTTATTTGGATTTTAGTAGGTTTTTGCATGCACTAATTTGTATGAAGTTTTTTGTTTTTAGTATATATTTTTAAGAAATTTTATCTTATACATAAGATTTCTGTAAAGCCTACCACAATTGGGATGCAGAATTGTGCCAACACAAAGAAACATCCTCCTGCTACCCCTCTGTGGTCACACTCTTCCCCTACCCCTGACCATGGTGACCCCTGGTCAAACTCCATCACTCCAACTTGGTTATTTCAACAATGCTGTTAAAATGGAATCATATAGTATGTAGCCTTTGCGATAGGCTTTGTTTCACTCAGCAAATTGCTGTTAAGATCCATCCAATTTTTTTGGTGTATAAGTAGTTTTACTTGTTGTTAATTGCATTCGTTGTATGGCTGTACAATGACTTATCTGTTTACTGTTGACTGATGTCTGGGTTGTTTTCCTATGTTTCATTGTTTTGAATAAAACTCTATGAACATTTGTGGACCCAACTTTATGGGAAAAGAAGTATTTGTTCCTTTGGGGTAAATACCCAGCAGTCATATGTTACATTTGTGTTTAACTTTATAAGAGACTGCCAAATTTTTCTAGAGTGGCCGTACTAATTTACATGCTCACCAGTAGTGTATGAACACCCTGGATGTTCCATGTCTTTTCTAGCAGTTGGCACTATCATACTTGATTCCAGACATCCTGTCAAGTATGTGGTAGTAGATAATGATGGCCTTAATTTACAATTCCCTAACAGTGAATATCTCAACACTTCTACCTACATTGAGAACCATATCAGGTAAAGTTGTCATGTCTGCTTTCAACCACCCAATGTAATTTTAAAAAACTCAAAAGGAGACTAACCTATTATATTTGATGATCTGTTTACCCTTTCCATTCCTTTCTTTCATTCCTGATGTCACATGTTTCCTTCTGTTATTTTCTTTTTGTCAGTCTCCTTTATCAATTCTTTTTGGGCAGGCCTGCTTGTAACAAATTCTTAGTTTTCCAAGCAATAGATCTCTTCTCTTGTCTCTATCCAGAGTTAATTTCTTTGATATAGTAAGGATATTTAACCCAGTTTACAAATGATGAGTGTTGCTTTTAGGGGAAAAAGAAAAGGACATTTGCCATACAATATTGTGGCAGTATTCAGTATCCAACTGCATGGTAAGTAATTCATTCCTTTAAAAATATTTGTTAAGCATCTACATTTGGCCAGACACTGTTTTAGTCACTGGAGACTCATTAGTGAACAAAACAGGCAAAGCCCCGGCCTTCATGGAGCATACAGTCTAGTGAAGGCGACTGAGTAAATACACATCAGAATATCAGTTCTGATAAATGTTTTGGAGAAATATTAAACCTAGTAATACGCTGTCATGGGGAAGCTATTTTAGAAAGGGTTTCCAAGGAAGGCTCTTGTGGGCAAATGTAATTTGAATCAACATCTAAATGTACCAGGGGGAGCCAACAAGATCTGTTGTGAGCCAAGAACACTCTAGATGTGTTTCTAAGTGTTTTCTCTGGGCTTCCTACCTCAGGATTCTCTGAGAGGCTTGTAAAAGATGCAAGCTCGAGTCACACTGCAGACCCAAACCAGAACCTGTGAGACTGGCGACCCCAGACTCTGGGTTTATAAAATGACCTTTCTGATCTATATTTAAATTTGAACAGCTCTGCCCTAAATCCCAGACTAGTGCAGCCACTCCCACCCCACATTGTCACAGGATGGATTCTGGGCAGATATTCTACAACAAAGAATCAGACATGAGGACCCCACCTACCAGGTCCTCAGATGCTTTCTCCTTGTCCTTCTGTGAACCTACACATGCTGCCATGGCAGGGTCACAGCAGCTTATTCCTGAAACTGATCAGTCAGGGTCACAGAATGGGCTGCCCTGAGTTCTCTGGACAACATGTTCAACTCACCTTTCAGAGTTTGACATCTCAGGTGAATAGGGCTGAAATTTAATCTCTGAAAGGAATGTAATACTATTAAGAAATTATGAAAACAAATTCTTAATGTATAAAAATTAAAAAGCATATACAAACAAAATTTGTCACCCATACTGTACCTAAGAGCAAAATACTGTTAATGATATATTCTTCTCCAAATTTCAAATACAGGTAAGTATATTTTTTACAAAAGAAAAATGAGACGTCTATATTTACTATGTTATGAACATCTACATCATTCAGTATTCTAAAACTTTTCTAAAATGGGCATGTCTTTATAATAAAGTAAAACATAATTACTATACAAAGATATTAACAATGAAGAATTGCAAAAACTGGGAATGTGAAAACTTATATTCTTTACTCATAAGCACAAAGTAATCCAAGCTAAATAGTTAACCAACCAGAATTTTCAAAAAGACAAACATTTATGGTTTGTTCTCATAAAAGGATCAAAATATATACACTATGCTGCAGATGCTTTTTATCTTCTGAAGACTACTTCAGTTCAGTTGCTCAGTTGTGTCCAACTCTTTGCAACCCCATGTACTGCAGCAAGCCAGGCCTCCCTATCCATCACCAACTCCCAGAGTTTACTCAAACTCATGTCCATTGAGTCGGTGGTGGCATCCAACCATCTCATCCTCTGTTGTCCCCTTCTCCTCCTGCCTTCAATCTTTCCCAGCATCGGGGTCTTTTCAAATGAGTCAGTTCTTTGCATCAGGTGGCCAAAGTATTCGAGTTTCAGCTTCAGTATTAGTCATTCCAATGAATATTCAGGACTGATTTCCTTTAGGATGGTCTGGTTGGATCTCCTTGCAATCCAAGGGACTCTCAAGAGTCTTCAACACCACAGTTCAAAAGCATCAATTCTTCCGTGCTCAGCTTTCTTTATAGTCCAACTCTCACATCCATACATGACTACTGGAAAAACCATTTTCCTTATTTATACTAACAATCCTTAAATGTTATATACTGTTATACTGAGTGGATAGCCCATACTTTACCAAAGCATCTATTACTGTACACTTAGGCTTTTCATTTATTATAAAAGCCTCTGTGGTTAATAAAACTTTTTACCAAATATATTGTTGGAATTAGAATTGCTGGGTCAAAGAATGAAAAATTTAAATTGGATTTAGGTTGCCTTCTAAAAACCATCTTTAAACCCTCTAGAATTAAACTTCCCATG